AAAATATACAAAACAAACCACCATTAATTGGAGATACATTTTGACTGCCTTCTTCGGTCTGCCCCATTCACACGTGCAAGCGAGCTTTGTTAGATGGTTTATAATAACATCAGTGCGATGCTTTGCAGAACGCCGCTCTGATTTGAATCCATATCATTTGGGTATTATGGAATACTTAAGGCCCACCTGCGTAAAACATGGTTACCCATGCTTACTGACTGCTGATGTCATTGACGCACGCCTGACCGCAAATAACGTATTAACAATCTATTATTGTGCTTCCTAAAAACTCTGCCACTATCTTTGGCGTACAAACGTTATAATTTGCGTTGACATGGGCGTCTCTTCTTTAATATATCTAATTTTCGTGCTTGTAGATATTTATTTGCGGTTTGATTTAGACACTTTTCCGCCTAATGGCGTTCGGAGCAGCAAAATATCTGAATATACCAAATTTGATATACCATGTCAGGGCACTGAAGAGTTTACTTTGAATCGCTGCCAGGTAAATTGTTTTTAACTTCTGAGAATAGAATAAGAGGAAAGGAAAGAAGCAAGAATTTGCTTACAAGGAATTTGGTTGGAGAAGATTTCAGGCGAATTGCAAAAATAATTTTCAAAAAGTTGAAGCAATTGATTTTTCAAAATTTGTTCACGGTGTTATAGCCAAACGAATTACGTGACCAGACTGACGATAGTAAAAATTGTTCTTCTTGGACTTTGCGCACGCCCCAAAAAATTTAAAATGTCACAGATCAATATCATGTATATGACGAAAGGCTAAATATAAATAAATTTAAATTAAAGAGAGGAAAACACGTTTTGTCGAGTCATGCCCAGAACTCGCTAAAAGGTTTTTCCGAGGTGCACCCGTAAGGACAGAACTTCATTTCGGAGGCGAATATAACGATTTAATGCCCCAGCACTTATTCACTGAGAAAAAAATCAAGGGTTTTAAGAGCCTTGAAATATAGTTATATGAGTTTGGTAAGTTTAAAGTTTTCCAAAGAGGCGAAAATATCGTGAGATTTTTATGCCAATAGTAATCAAAGACAAGTGTATAGCGTTTGATTCTTGTTTCAGAGTTTTACTTTTTTTCGTCTCAGTGAGGAATATGATATATTGGGGGAATCATTGGGAGTCAGTCAGTTATGATCAGCGCCTTACACTAATAGTGTTAGACTAGGAAGTAAAATTTGGCCCGAATCCTAAATGTGGTTATTATTCGAAATATATCTTCTGCTCTCTCCTGAGAAAAGAGCTTACTTCTTGCATGCTTAACGATTGACTGATTATGCTTTCACACATTCTTACATACATTCTTGGCGGTGCGTCTTTTGCGGCAATCCAGTGTCAAAGGTAACATTTGTTAACACTGACAATGCGATCAATGCATTTTTCATCAGTTTGTTTTTAAAAATCGGGCCTGTAACGCTTCATAAACTAGCCTTTGATGCTTTTAGGTTGTAAAAGCGAACGTATTTATCGCCAATAGTCGCCGGTTAGGTCTACAATGAAATGCTCTGGAAAAAGACTTCTAACAGTATTTGGAGGCAGTATCAAATTCTCTAAGATTCTAGGAATTAGATTACATAACCCATGCTCAGACATTAACCCTAAGCTAAATAATATTTGCTTTTCACTTATTTCTCAAGTAAACAGTCTCTAAGCTTAAAAATCTGGACATAAAATGAAAAACGTCTAAAATTCGTGCATGAAAATAAGATTAAAGGGAAACGATATGATAAATAACTCAAACTATCATCTATTTCTAAGATAGACAGAAATTCTCCAGACAACTAAGTTCGCTTTTGTCGATTTCAATATTAAACTGGGCAATCATTTTAAAAATCATAAATTGCCACGTATCAAGACTTTTTTATTTCATTTTCCTGGGGTAGTTTTTAAGAGTGCTTTCTTTTAGTGAAGAACCGTGCTTCACAGACTGTCTAAAATTTCCAAATTTACATTTGCATGCATTACGTACCTATGTGAAGCACGCACGTAACATGGAAAGGTCAAAACTTTCTGATAGACCTAATTTCAGAAATATTGTTTCAGGCCCAAATGTTTGGTTTTTTGTAAAAATTTTTGAAAGAGAATAAACGAAAGAGACCTTTTGATGCTTCAGTAACAAATGAGTTTAGTTAATTATCTAAATGATCAGGTTAGGTACATGACAACTGATCGTTGATAAAGAGGACACGAACTGTGGAAATATTAATTTCTTCTCTAAGGTTTGCGTTTATTGAAAGTTACCACGGAAAAGTTCATTTGAGTTATCATTCCCTAGGGATAAAACTAGGTTAGTTCAGCAACTTCGTGACTTTTTTACGAATTGTTTGATTTTTAAACGTGACGTGTTTATTAGTACTCTAAAATCATCCCAGCTGAGCCGAAAAATCTTAACCTTGGGTTAGAAACGAACGCGGAAATATGTCAAAAATTTTCACGAAAAATAATCTTGACAAACAAAAATTTATACAGTGAAAAACGATCTCGTTGTTTTTCTGACCCTTTCTCAGTTTTGGACCTGTTGTGTTAGTTTGTCTTAAGTACTATTTCAAATGATCCAATTTGTATGTTGCTTTTGCCAGGTTGGAAACAAGGTCATTTAGTTTTTTACTTTGTTGAAACACGTACATGTAAAGTGACTAAAACGTGATAGTGCTCCACTGAGGGTAAATAGGTTCAGATCCATGATTCCTTCTCACGTTTTCAACTCTTTCCCGTCTAAAAATAACACCTCTACGTCAAAAGAACTAATACCTTCTTCGCGTAGCTTTTTGTCTCTTCTATCACTTCCTTGTCAGGGTTTCGCCACGTAATGGTTACTCTTGACGCCTTTCACTTGTTATACATGTGAAGCGAAAAACCTCAAGTTTGGCTGTATTTCAATGGTTCTCTCAAAGTCCTTGTTACGCTATAAACTGGGTTTTATTATGGTTTAAAAGTTGATAAATTAAGAGAAAACAACGGACGAGAGAGAAAACACTGTTGCCAACGTTTGTATGTTTTGGCGCAATTCGGACATTTTAGCACGCGTTCAACTTTGAACTCATCAAAACTGTTTGTTACGACTTGACAAACTAAAATAGGTACTAAGCATAAACAAAAAAACCCTCTCCCCTTTCTCAAATGCCATTTTTCCGGGAATTTTCACCCAACACCTGACTTTGCCGTCATTTTAAGCGCACAATATCTAAACTTGGAAAAGGTGGTTGTATTCCACTGGCATAACTAAGTAGTTTTGCTCTTAAATTGAAAACACTTTAGAACGAAGACATTGTATAACACTCTACTTTAAGAGCTCATGAAGTTTGTTATTTCTAGGATCGGCTAAGTTTCCATGAAAACCACTCTGCTGGTAATTTAAGATTCAGTGCGTAGGCTTGGATGCCCGTAAAACAAGGAAAAGTTAGGCGTCCTCATGTAACCGCTTTGTGGGACGTGTTTTCCTTGTTACGGACATGGGGTTTACCTCATAATTTTGGCTTACCCTGGACAGATAATGACTCGAATAAACTGTACGTGCTTTGGTTCTACCCAGACTGATTAACTAGTAACAATATCAGTCCATCAAAGATATTCCAGTCAAGTAGTCTCTCCATTGTAATCACCTTGAGATTGCATGTCTAATGGCTAGAAATCCACGCTATTTTTAACGCCAGCATTTAGTTAGTGGATAGTTCTATGCACTACAAAGGTCATAAGGTTTTGTTCGACTTGCGCTAAGTATAATTTAATCGCTTTTTCTTACATTTTGCTTACCGTATTATGAAGCACGTTATGTGAACGTGTGAAAGCTATGTATGCAAATATTTAAAACTTATCGTGGTCTAAAAGTATGTAGCTCGTGGAAAGGCGGTATGGATTGTGTTATTTCACACTTAAAGATAACATATAAAAGAAAGAAATGTGCTATTTTCAAGCGAAATTCCAATGCCTCAGTAATAAAGACAGCTGTGCTTAAAGTCTCAGCATGGCTTACAGATGCCCCTTTAGGACAAAGACACGCGAGGTTTCTTTGTCAACGCTCAGCAAACAGCTTTTCTTTGATCTACGTGAGCTGAGCAACGCTTGTAATTTGTTTACGTTCTACTACACAGTCATGCATGTAGAGCAATGGGAGAATCAAACGTGATCCCGACCTCCCAACACGTGGATTGCGGAAAAGAAGGAAAACAACAAGCTTCGCGTGACTTGACCTTCGCTCTCCTTACGGATCGCGCAGGGTTATCTATCTTGGTCCCGGGATGTTGCGCTCATGCGTTTTGCCAGTCTCGCTTCTATTCTAGACACTAAATATGTGTTCACAGATATCCAAGAAAAACAGTGATTGATGGGTGTGTATTCTAAACTTCAAAACAAATTAAACGTCTCTTATAAACCGCAACCGGCCCAGCCACCTATGACAAAATGTCTCGTGCGCAAGAACGCGTTCGTGCATCGAAATATTCACTTTGCAACTTAATGCAACGGCTTTGAAACCTCCTCTCCAAGTTAACACGTAATACAGGGAATATGAGCAAATATTAGCTTTTCGAGAGCTCGACTTATTGCCATGGTATCAAACAAACATATTTAGACAAAAACTAAAATAAATCAGGGCTGTCTAGAGAATATGCTGATGTACCTTCGTTGATTTTTCAAGTGGAACAAAAAACGTGACTCGTTGCCAAACATCACCGTGTATGTTATGATTAGATTTCAAGTGATTTCAACACGTGGAGCTTTCAAAAATGCTTTCATTTTGCAATCTGCTTACTTTGCGAGTTGAAACGCATTTTGTTACAGCATTGCTACAGCAGCGTGATTTTGCCAGAGACTCTCGAATCCGCCTGCAGGTGGGCGTTTAAAATTTAAATGACATAATTAATCAAACGTCGCCATTCTTTTGATAAAATGAGATTTCACGCTACGCGGAGATCGGAGTTTCTAATTTTATCCTCAGCCGAGACAGTCATAATTATACGCGTGTAAACATTCTAGGAACGTATACGTTGTCACGTAGACAGCGTCTATATAAGGGGATACTTTCTTGTCTGTTCTGTGGTCAGACACTCACTACGAGAACGAACAGTGAGTAACGATTCCATCCAGCAAACGAGAAGAAAAGCCACAACGATTTCTATAAACAACTAAGGTATGCTCGCTAAAATTTTATGCAAACATCATCCTTTACTGGACAGCCTTATCGCAAATTTTTAGCGTGACCGTATAAAAAGTCCTGACGAATTCTGTGACCTAACCCGGCTGAGTTCAGGTAATTTAGTTATCGCCTGATCAAACTTAACTTCGTATGCCAAAGAATTTTGCGGATTTACATCTTTTATTTAAAATAATTTTGATTCTTTTTGAAAGGATTAGAAGTAACTTCCAACGTGTGAAAAGAGCAATCAAACATAACTTTACTTCGGCGGGTTTTTTTTTATGTTGTAGTACCTATATAGTTCAGTTTCGCTTTGTAAACGCCCCTCTTACCTTGGGTAGCGGATCAATTGAACTAAACTTAGCATTTTATTTTCAAATACTGTAATTATTTTTTCAAAAATCTGAGCCATTCGTTACAAATTCCATGTGCATGTCCTTAACGTTCCGTGTATTTTGTCGGCTCCCAGGGCTAAGAACCGTTCGAAAATTCTAGATCAATGTGTTTACACAATGTAATGATTACATTTCCCTATTTACATACTTAAAAAACCTAGCTTCCAAATTGCGAATAGTAGATTAAGAAATATAGACAGCATTGCGTTCATTTTGTTCAATTTTGCGTTCATTTCTTTAATTTTGCGCTTTTCCCAAGCATGTTATGTTTAAAATATAGTTAATTGCGTAGATTCAATATCTTCGCTTCGTTCTTAGCTTTCTCAAACAGGGAAGTACAGCTATTGTACACAATTTGACGTAAAAGAAAGAGTAACTAGAAAATTGCATTTAATAAGAGTTTTAAAATGTCATGCGATTTTCGGAAAACCCTAAGCAAGTTGAAAAACTTTTTAGCGCTCGTAATATAGCTTGAAATTTCAGCTTTGTAATATCTCTAAGATCTTGCTGTATGTTGCTCCGTCGATATTCTAACACAGGTTTTGGCGGCGAAATCTTTTCCGAAATAGAAAGATTCAAACTATATCGTCCAAATCTTATCATCATACTGCTAGATGAAAGCAAAGGCATCTTAAAGTAGTCGTCAGTCCGCGCAGAGTTTATTTAGTGTCCTGGCTTAATTTTAGTTGTTGATTCGCCTTAATTCTTCTCCAATATTCTTTTCCTTTTTTTTTTTTTTTAATTTGAATTGATGTGTTTGGCTCAAAGTGATAGATTGAGACTGTACTTGAAAACAAACTAAATTTCATAATTTTTTTTTTCCTTTTTCATCAAGCATCTTGAAACTACTGAACATAATCCATCGATGTCGATCGTCTAACCACCAATGAAATTGTTTGTGTAGTTTAGCACAACGCTGTGGAAAACGTGATTTACCGAAACGAACAATTTTAGGTCTGGTCAAACTAAACCCGATTAGTACCGTTAAGTAACAGCTGAAATACGTTACGTAATACCGGCGTGATGATGTGAACTCTGTAGTTTGATCCGAGAGCGCGTGGCTATGCACGTGATTTTATTATCGACACAGATCAGGGGTCGGGAATAAAAATCAGCGAACGGATTCCTCCGTTATCGTGCCATACGTCCACAGACACCATACTGTCTGCCATTGGCTGGTAAGAGGCCACGTGGTGCAGGTAGAACGTGATCAGTGCGTGACAGAATGACCGGCGAACTCTTCAGCGTGTTTTTGTTTTGAACGCGCTTTTACCTTTATAAATAGCCCCTTAAAATGATCTCTTAAAAGATAAAAATCGAATGAAGTGGGTCCGAAGACCAAGAAAGACAAGAAAAGAAACAATAGCAACTTAAGTGGATTGTGTGCCGTCAAAATCGTCCGTTGGTATTGTTTCGGGAATATGGATACAATTGTTTCGACATGATTTTCATGATGACCCAGTTTGTAAAGGCCAGGATGTTTTGTTTGTTTTGCCATTTTCCAAAGATCAATGTAACGAGGCAATTAAAATGTCGTGGTACTCGAGAAATACTTAGTGCATCCTCCAGACAGTTGCAATTTTTCCTGACGTTCTATAATCGGTTAAGTGGCCTTAAAATGTAATCTAACCGCGAATTGCATTGGCTTATAAATAAACTCCAAAAAGGTTAGGAATTCATGTTATATCAAATACGGTGTTTTCACTGTCAATATATTTAGCAGATATCTTCCATGTTGAAAGATAAACAGTTTCTGAAACAGTATCTCGAAGGTCGACTGGATGAGGCGCCGTTTCGATAACTAATCGAGGTTACTAAATATAACTCGATAATAACACTCTTCTACGGAGGTCGCGTGCCAATACGGAAAAAAATTCACATTATTCGAGTTTGGAATTCATATTTAGCTCATAATGGTACACCTCTGACCTTAATAGCTGTAAACATTTTAAGCTCTCGTTAGATCATAACAGATTATCGCGACGAGTATTGAATGCATACAATTACACAGTTCATTGGAGCAACGAAGGATAATTTTAGTTTCACAACAAAAATGCGCAGGAAATAGAGAGTGAAGCGCGAGGGACTGGGGTTGCATAGAAATACGGCCGCCAAATACCGACTCTCTTTCGCTCTTAATATTCCCGCCTTTTTGAGCTTTCCAATTTCCAGCGGTTTAATGAATGAAAATCTGCCGAAGAAGCCTATAACTCTGATCAATTTGCTTCCAGCGGATATCATAAGTTTTGTTAAATATTTTCTGGACAGGTTAAAAACTACCTAGTAATTTTTAAGAAGTAACAAGTGTGATTGACAATAATCGATTTGTAATCTTCTGTTGCAGAAATCTGAAAGATGATTCTAGAAATCGCATTTGTTTTCGTTTGTGTGACAACGATCGCTTTCTTTGTCCACCGCGCCCATGCGCAGAAATCCAAGAATCTGGCTCCTGGCCCCAGGCCGTATCCCCTGATTGGCAACATGCCCCGTTTAGCAGGAAAACCAGGTCACTTGGCCATGACTGAGCTAGCTGAGGAGTATGGTAAGATCTATACGCTCTACCTGCCCGGCGGTCAGCGGTGTGTCGTTATCAACTCAATAGATCTGGCCCGTGAAGCGCTGCTCGCTAGGAGAGATGAATTTTCAGGGCGACCCGTGACCTTTGTTGGAGACTACTTGTCCCGAGGAGGCAGAAATATCATCTGCGCCGACTTCACGCAATCAATGATCCTTCTGCGAAAGATTGCTCACTCAGCACTGCGCATGTACGGAAGTGGCTTGAAGCATCTCGAGTGTCTTATAAGCAGTGAGGTTGATCACATGGCCAAACGCATCACTTCCCAACAGGGGAAACCATTTGATCCAAAAAAAGAAATTCAGCTGACCATTCTCAACGTGATATGTGCTGTTGTCTACGGCGAAAGCTACGATATTGAAGACGAAGAATTCCTGCGGATAATTCAGTACAATGATGACTTTATCAGACTATTTGGTAGCTATAATATCTTAGACCTGCTTCCGTGGCTAAGATTTTTCCCTCTGCAAGACATGAAAACCCTGCGCGAGTCGCGCCAAATCAGAGATGACATCCTCGGAGCAAAATATCAAGAACACAAAAAGAGGTTTGAAGAGGACAGCGCAAACAACAACTTTGAAATCGAAGATTTGACTGATGCTCTACTGAAGGCCTACCACGAGGCGCAAGAAGAAGACGGAAAAGTCGCACAATTGCTGACTGAAGATCATCTCGTTATGACAATGAACGATGTCTTCAATGCCGGTCTGGAGACATCGGCTACAACACTACGATGGCTGCTCGCTTTCTTGGTTACCTACCCAGAAATCCAAGCCCGCGTGCATGCGGAGTTAGATGACGTCATCGGCAGTGGCCGCATGCCGTGTTTGAACGACCGTGGGAATCTTCCATATTTGGAATCCACCATTGCAGAGGTTCTCCGCATCAGAGCTATAGTTCCACTGTCACTGCCTCACAAGGCGACGTGTGATACGACACTGGGTGGCTACGATGTACCAAAAGACACAATGCTTATATCAAACATATGGGCTATGCACCACGACAAAAATGAATGGCAGAATCCCGAAGTGTTCGACCCGTCTAGGTTCTTGGACAAAGACGGAAAGCTTCTTGGCTCAGAACGAAAATTCTCCGCCGCTGGAGTACGCAGCTACTTACCATTTAGCGCCGGAAGACGCGGTTGCCTTGGTGAATCACTGGCGAAAACCGAAATGTTCTTAGTGGCGTCCAGGCTCCTGCATCAATTTAAATTCGAAAATCCAGCTGGTAGACCTCTTCCAGATCTGAGCGGCGAGGTTGGCGTGGTCTTAATGCCCGGCCCCTTTGAAATATGTGCCAAGGATAGACTGTAAACATCGCAGAATGAACTCAATTAGAATTTAATTTTCCCTGTTCAAAAAACTCTTTTCAATTGCTTTGATTACGGATAAGATTATAGAAATAAGAACAATTTTTAAAAGTACTCTGTCAAATGAAACCAACTATGATTAATTTTAACGGAAACTTCTTTTCTTGAAACACACTACCTGAAATATTTATGATTCCTTCCTGCGTCGGATGGAAAAAGAAAATCTTTTAATGAGCAAAAGTAGAATTTTTCAACACGAATGTATTCAGCCCTCTATGAGGCAAAGTAGTACTTCACATTTAGTGAATGATCTGAATTTTAGAGTTGCGTTTGCTTTTCTGTATTCTGTAAATTTTTTTATCAATGACTCGCCTTGATTCAGCTTAAAAAAACATTTATTGATTTTAGAGATACTGGGGTTCTTGTGACTCTTACTAAAACTTGAAATTTATGAAAGAAAAAGTGGAAAAGTGAAAAAAAAAAATCTCGGTAACAGCAATTTCCAGAAATACGCCAATTCATAGAAACTCAATCCATCTCCTTACTGTACTGTAAAATTTGACCAACTCCCCCAGTGTTCATTTAGTCAAGTGCGCATTGTATACTCACTATATTATATCGGCATTAAGCGGTGTTACCCAGATCGTAGAAGTGTTAGCTAGCTGTATTACGTACTCCAAGAATATTAAATACATTTTTCAAAGGTTCCTAACAAAGTTACTTAACACATATGTACTTTTTTGTATATTTACGTACCAAACACCTAATGGCAGTGACATATATATACAATTAGTCATTTTATTTTGTATGTTTAATAAATGTCTTCTTAAAAGTAAGCAATTTAGCTCAGTCTGTATTCAATAAATACTTACAGATGTAGAAAAAACCTGGTTTTTTGGTTCGTTACTTCTAATCTGAACAACTGCAAATTCTGGCGGGGGGGTGAAGGATGGAGGGGGGGGGGAATCAATTGGTCAACAGGGAGAACGGAGAGGGGACCAGTCGCCGCCAAAAGAGTATAAAGTCTAATTAGTATAATTAGTCTCGTACCCAGACTTTCACAGCTAAGCGGTTGTTAGATCCTACATAATAAGTTACATTCAAAACGGTAGGATCTGGTACGAGATCAGGAGACCAATTTTGGGGGGGGGGAGCCTAATCGGGGGATTGGGCAAATATTTATCGTGACACAAACAAAATCCTTCCCCCCCTCCCCGATACAAATAATGACAAGTTGTATAAAGTTTAGGGATTTGATTTCCTCTATTTTTCCTGAATCACATACAAAAGATGGCCACTTTAATTTGCTTGTTCATACTTCAAAAAATATAAACCAAATCAGAGAAAAGCTGAATTATGAGAAATGTAAATTTATACGAAAATTTCAAGTGCTCTTGGGCTCCGAATTTTAATTCGTGTTTTTTTTTTTTTTTTCGGTACGGGGAAAAGTTTAGAATTTAGCCTCGTGAAAAAGTTTTTTTTTTATCAAATTAGTGCTTTTACGGCCATTTTGTTTGACATCGGCCTTCCCTCGCTCGAGTTTTAAACTATCGAGAGCGCATGCGTCTCTGTGTCTACAGTTGTTTGACACCACAATGATAACGTGACAACTATGACATGCTATAAAAACAACAATTGCCTCATTTAATTGATATCTAATGATGACAGCCTCAGTGCCAAGATTTGGCGCTGTCCTCATTCGTATGAGATATCTGCTGTCTGAAGTTTTTTTATTTATTTATTGTCTCTTTTGGGCCAAATTCTTTATAATCATGTAAAAGGGCGTTTAAACGCTTGGAAGCGACATTACAAGCTTCGATGTGTCATCAATTCATGCCACTCAGTTTAGGGTTTCAGATCAAGATGCTTTTGAAGTATTTCGGTTGTAACTCCTGTCTATTTCCTTACAGTTCTGCTGAGTATTTAAGGCGTCAATACAGACATGCGATGATTTGCCATAACCTGGTTTTTCAAATCCACGCTAATGCTATTTTCTTTCTCTCTTTCGAAAGCACCCACGAGTCCACGACAATTCATTTTCTTATGAAACAAAATTTTACATCAGATATCAGCAAAGAAGGAACGTGAAAAGCTTTTACGGCGTTTTTTCCTCGAGACAGCCTTATTTTTGATCGATTAAAAAAACAACAACAATAACAAAACCTAAGAATCCAGTATATCTTTAGAAAGGCCTAGCATTTGATTTATTCAACTAATAACCAGTTCTGTCCTATACCAGTTCGCCCGTGCTGACTAAATGACGAAAACATTTGGAATGTCTAATCATTTATTAATAACATGGAAAACATTTACACCTCATACAAAATATGCAAAGATTTTTAATGCAAAGCTGTTTAAGGAAATTGCAAAAAGCTGCTTATATCTTGATGGCTTTGTAAAGACTGTTCCGCATCAGGAAATTCTTTGTTCGAAACCATAGCAACAATTTCCCGCCATTGTCTATTTCGAATTCAGCACCATTCGTTTGTTTTTCCAACAAAGGGACGCCATGTTTCACGCTGTGCTGAGTGCATTGTGTCTGAAATAACAACCTTTTCAGGCTTTTGTGATCCTCGTGGAAAGAAGTCATTTGGCGTGAATGGCGGAGTGAATTGCAATTTGCGCCCTTTTGATTTCAAGCTCTTATCCAGGGTTTAGAATTTTCGCAAAACGAAGACAGATAGGGGAGAGTATCGAAAGTTAGATCTTTAGAATGCGTCATCACGAAGTTGTTTCTTCTACTCCTTGTGCGTAGGACAGGACACGATGGTGGTATATTTGACGTAGCCAGTGCTTTACTTTTCAATGGACAACAACTCTATCGCTAATCGAAGACGAGAGAAAGGACTCGAATCGAAGGTAAGATCATGATTTTTCTACCAGCTGGTTGGCAAGGAAGAGCGCTGTAGCAGCGCTCTTTTGTTAAGAGCACCAAATCAATTTGGTGTTCTTAAAAAATGAGTCTTGAAATTGTCGCGCTAAATGCAATTTAATGACATGAATCATTTATAGTTTTTTTCCATCAAGAGGTGTTTCCACGGATTCGAATTGGTTACAAACTTCAGTTGAAAGTCAAATGATCAGTGATAGATCACTCGCATCATGGATTAAATGTAGTCAAAAGTTACGTTCATCGATATTTTCCAGCTTCCATGGCTGTAATTAGTATTCATCGTTCGATGAAGGTAATTTTTGTTTACTTCCTTCTTAATTGAGCTTTCTCGAGCGCTGTTAGAAGTTCATTTAACATGATTTTGACCGCCAGCTGGCGCACGAATGAAAAAAAAACTTCAGTCACCCAAATCGTAATTATAACATATCACCCCGCATATTTAATTATTTTGAAGTAAATTTTATCGTGAAAAGCAGTTTGTAGTTGGTGTATGAAGTTGTTTCAGCTTGATTGATTTGGATTCGAATGAAATATTTTTACAATGTTAATTCGTTCAAAGTTATTTTAAAAAAACAAGTTTTTAAGGTAATTTTATTATAATGTTTTCGAAGAAGAATCCGCATTTGACATTCTCTTTATCGTGAATAAAGAGCATTTAAACTTTAAACACTCATAAAAAACATATGTATAGAAAATGAAACAGTTTTATTAAATCTATCACCCTCCTGTTTTAATTTCATAAATTTAAATTATCTCCTTAATTTTTTTAGGATTATAACATTTTTTACTTCTCCATATATACAGGATTAGCAGGAAGTTATTTTACAATTCTCAGGAAAAGTATGCTAATTTGTGATATTACTAGTGTATTTCATTTGTATACAGTACATGTTCAGGATTTCCTAATTAAAAAAAAATCATTAAGGTTGTTATTTTGGTGGATCACTGGAAGAAATATTTTAATTAACATTAGCAGATTACATTGTATGTAATTGCTCTTTGATTTTCTCTACCCAAAATTCTATCAGTCTTCATCAGAAGGAAATTACTTCATATATTTGTAGAGAGATTTATCCTTTGACATCATCAGACATCAAATATAAGAAGTAAATTTAAAAAAAAAAGTTTGTACATGGCACTTTGACCTGATAGTGCTGGACAATTTAAATTTTTTGTTGTCATTTTTTGTTTGAGTTTGGTTATGTAGCATCTTTGAAATTAAGTCGTCCAATCCACAATGAGTATTGCAGTAAACTTTTGCTTTATCTCATCAAATAGTTTGTGTAGATTTTTTTTGTGAGCTGTAACCAAGCAAACATTATGCTGTATTGATTGGTGATTCAGGAATTTTGTAGTACAAACAGTGCTAATTTATACAAAACCCATGTATCAACAGCTAAGAGTTTCACAATGCATCTACTTAATTGATAAATTTATCTGAATAGCAGTTATTTCACAGTTCATTTAACTTTGTCGCAGGAAAATGTGTTATCAGGATTTCTAAATTTCTTCAAGGCCTACAAATGAACATTGTCTAGTTAAATCTTAATGTACCCCTACTGCAGAAACAAAACGTGACAGTGTTCTGTTCTGTCTTATTTCATATATGACAAGTTTTCATCAAGCTGTCACAACTTTTAATGGAGAGTCAATATCAGGTTTTTTTGTCTTTGATAATTTGGGTTGCAAATGAGTTTTAGAACACTGTAATCAATGGCTTCCACTGTGACTTAAATAATCAAGAACATAACATTTATCTCGACCAATCTTACCATCACTGCATAATTTAAATAGCAATTGATATCTATACATGGGAAAAAAGTGACCTGGTCTTCTAATTTTAAAATGGTAGTATTTGGTGAGTTTGTTTCTTTGTTCTCTGTACAGTAATGGAACAGCTGAAATCAATTATTGTTTGGCAATTTGTATACATTTAGTGTGGCTTGTTAGGCTAGGAAGTTGTTCAAAATCATCTCTAAGATTTCATGGTATATCTGTTTAACTTAAGGGTTATTTCTGGAGCCCTCTCAATCTATGAAAACATTACAAATTGTCAGCTTGTTTCATGTTCACATGTACTGTTTAACCTTCATGCTGATTTGTGTTACTGAAACTTATTGAACCATATTGTGGCAAGACTTTGTAGCTTAAATTTCCTGATCATGAAGCAGTTTCATTATGAAGCTTAACTTATTATTGTACTCTGCTAAGATTGAATAATCTACATGACTTTGTACACTTATATGTTCAGAATGCAGTACAGTAAGATCTATGGCAATTTTTATAAGAGAAGCAAAGGTGTTGAACTCAGCTGTTTTGTGTAGAGTAGTATCCACTTGCATTCACGTGTGTTAATGTATTTTTGATTTTAAGGATCACAGGTATTACTAGTGAACTTTAAAAAGCACTGATTAATACAGTAGATTTGTAATTTCACATACACTTGGTTTGTCAAATCTTCTGATAATGCAGATCAAATCTGGTTTCCTTCTCAAGATACATGTGAACCAAGGGATTTTTGTTACCTTCCAATAGCTCAAAACCAAATGAATTTTTTATTCCTATAAGCTCGAAAGGAGATTCAAAAAATTTGTTTCACTGAATATACTACAGCTTATGAGAAACATAGAAATATTAATTTGGCCTTGAATTATATTTTGACATGCATTGCATATTTTTCAAGTAAAGTTTTCTTTGAGCATAACACTGTATTAAGTTATCAACAACAACTTTGATTCACCAATTTAGAAAAACATTTACAGATGTTGATCCTGTAAAACAAATTTCCAAAGGCAGATTTATTTCCAGAAAAATCTTGCATATCTAGTATCAGCTTAAATTAACTTAGCAGTCATCTTGTTTGATATGTGTATTTGTATCCTGGGCAACAAGTTATCAACACTGTCTGGTTTGTACTCTTTTCTTATGCATGACGTGATATTTGTAGATGTTG